TTATTAAGATCTATATACGAGGAGCATGACGCAGCAATGATACAATCAGGCACTTTTCATGCTCAAACGACGACATTGTCCATTATCTGAAGCCTAGCCATGGACACACGCCGTATTGAGATTGTACCGAGATAAAATACATGTTCTTTTATTAAGGTCAGTGCGTAGCTCTTATATACACCGCGCAGTTATGTTATCAAATAGATCTTATCGAGGGCCACTTAGCCATTCTCATGGCCAACAAAAAAATGCTCCTGCTGATAGCACAACCTCCGAGACGCATACGGTATTCCAGAAGATGCGACGGCTCACGGCCAGTACTGTCGCACAGTAAACAATATTGATTGTCTCTAACATACGTTTTTCAAAACAGCCGATGGTATAAGCACATTATATCTTCTGAAATGTGTTTACCTATCAGTATTATGCCAGATAACTTTGAAACGCACTGATGGAATAAACACTGGAAATATTAATTTAGGAAGGTTAGCAATGCATCAAACTTATACAGGGTGAGTACACAAAAAAGGAAACTAAAAATGTCGGGACCATTTTATTTTTAAATGATGTTCTGCATGTAGCACTTTCAAAATCAAGGATATGAAAGCGCAAATCATAAGCCTCCTTTTAGTACAGGATCTAGGAATCGTTCAAATTACTCATTTACTTATCAAGTTACGGTATTTTAAACACAACAACAGTCTTAAAGTGTTCTTTCAGCAAAACGAAAACAATTCACATGATGATGTTCGTGAATTGTTTTCATTTTACTGAAAGAGCACTTACCTTTTTGTGATCCGTGGACAGAACTTTAAAACGGTGTTTGTTTTTAAAATTCCGCAACTTGAAAATGAAATGAATCATGAACTAAACGAAAGCTTATTCATTGGGCTTTCATATCCTAGATTTTAGAAGTGCTACATGCAGAACTTCATTACTAAAATGGTCCTGCTATTTGGGTTTCCTTGTTTTTTTTTACTCACCCTGTATACTTAATATTTTCTAATACGGTCTAGTATACAAAACCCGCTTCAACCCATCCAACATATACTCCCGAGAAAGATCACGAAACGGGTTGAGAATTCGAATTAACCTACAAATTGAACAGGCAGATTCCATTAAATAATTGATTCCCTTTCCGACCAACTTGATTACACGGCCGAACGGCCCGGATGTCAGGAAACCGGGTCGTAAAAAGGAAAGGTTTTTTTTTTCCGTGGAGCATTTTATCTTTTGTGCCGTGTGCGCCAAAGAGATTTGAAGTAATGACCTTATTTCTTGTTTGAAAGCTTAAAGGACACCCATAAGGAATGCACGAATTTCATATTACCATTGAAACCGATATTCTCAGTGCTAAACCATTGTATGAATTGAGGACCTTTTTTTTTTTTTTTTTTTTTTAATCCTCTCAACAAAAGAGAGCACTGGGGCCCTCGGGTTCAGTGCCAATTCAGAAATTCATCTATGACAGCAATTATTAAAACCGCTTGTGGCGCATTTTCATTCAGCATGAATAGAATTGTTTTTTACGGATTCACGATTAGCCTACATTAAAACTCAAGGCCATAGGTATACAAAAAATCTCAATTAACCTCGTAAATTCTCATCAGCACAAAAAATAGTGCCTGTTTAATGTCAATTTGATCCCTAACAAGACGTCTGTGTTGTGCTAAAAATAAAAAAACTACCACAAAAAAGCCAAGGCGCAATTATCGCTGTCAGTTAAATTTCTACAATACTAAATTGTATAATTTGTAGGTCGTCCTAAAAGCTTTTCAAGTCACTTATATAAAAGGATGGTTAACTAGCGTTCTTGAACTTGCTGCCGTAGTCTTCAAGACGTAAAAATAAACAGGTGTAATTCGACAATTTGATTACCGGGAACCCGTAAAATGCTGGACGCTTTTGGCGCGCTTCTAGCCACGATACTTATCATGGTTTATTGGGTATGCTACGTCACTGCGCTCTCCTTTGGAAAGGCTTGGACATTGAATGATTTTTTTCTGTTCGAAGATCTCCAACCATTCCCGTGCGTTTCACCACAACCCATGGTCAATAAGCAATGAAATTGTAAATCGTCATAGATTGGAATCTTTCCCTTAGCCATAAGAACAGGGGACACGCGGATATAGAGAATAGTATTGGGTTTCATCAAAGGTTTGGGACAATTAGGCTTTTCCCAATTTGCTTCTGGCAATTGCTTTTTGATGGAGCTATAATTCTGCCTATCCATTCGACTGGAACACTATCCACAAATGTGTGCATGCTTAATACAATAAAATATCGAATGCATATTCTCGCAAATTTATGGTCTGTACGAGACGAACGTGACATTATTGAGAAAACATACAAGGACGTGTTAAAATAGCAGCAAAAAAGGAGCCCCCAACGAAACCGATCCAACTTCAATTTTCCTTTTATCTGCCAGACAGACCTTGAGGTCTTATTTTGTTCTTTAAGATATAGTTGGGAGGCTCTATAGCGAATTTGAAATCGCTCACCGTGAGTAATGTTCTCCTACAGTCTTGTGACAGGTCCCGATAGCGTGCCGTGTTTTGAAACCTCGGTTTTCAAGTTTTTTGTTCCTGAAATGCGCTGACAGTAAGATAAATTTTGACGGCGTTAGCCTTGCCGAGGCTGGCCCGTAGAGATGTCTATCGTCTTTCGGTTTTATCGCGAGGCAAGTGAATCTATCGACTTTTGTAAAGTTTTCCTGATTCGACCTTTTGGAAAACCTTCAAACGAGGGATTTTGATCCTTGCTTTCCTGATGCCAAACCCTATAGAGCAGAAAACTAAAATTGGATGATTGCTTCACCAGATACATATTCGTCGGCACGGTGGATCTCAACAGAAAATAATGACGAGTTACTATCGGTACCCGTACACTCGCATTATTTCTAACGGTCTGTGTTTCGAATTTTGCGTGTCCGTCCTACTATCCAGGCCTAAATAATAATGATCTTTTCCCCCCGTGTTCAATGCTGCAGGGAAAATGCAAACTCACACAGTAGTGATTTGCACTACTTATTTAGCCATGTGATATTAATCATAATCATTCTGTACATCAGCGCGATGGGTGTTCGTTTACAGCCCAATAGTCGTTTGAAATGGCTTTGTTATGATGGCATTCCATTAGATTTGAATATCCAGCTTCTTTTTTTAGAAGGAAGCCTTGGTTGTTTGTTTTTTTAAATGATCAATATTTGCAACCTCAAAAAAATTAAGGCAAAAACTTCAAAAGTCAACGATCGGTTCCGTTTCAATATATTTCATCAAGAGAACTTCGACGAATAAAAACATGTTATGATTAAAACACATTCACACAACCCTTTCCACAAAGCGTGTTGAGCCTGGAAATAACTCTGATCTTTTTTTTTGTCAAGAACGGCCAGGAAAAGCAACAAATGCAAACACTTAGCGGTCAACTCAAATCAAAAACCCGGACAAACAAATTCCTTCGAGGAGGGCTTTTGCTGACGTCTTCTTATTATTTGCTTCCCCGTCACGGTCATACCATCACGATGGGTTGAACTGAGTGGCCCCCTCAACGTCCATTTCCATCCAGACAACCAACCTTTAACAATCTCACTAAAGCCACCGCTGTCATTTGCAATGGTAATTGCCACAGTCCCTGCCCCCTGCTCCTTCTTAAGATAACATTTATACATCTTCAAGGCTTACGGGAATTTCGCCGGCGGTACTCCAAGGGTTTTTAGTGGTTTTGTGCGGTGAAACACAAGCCAGGGTTGGTCGGCGTTAAGCGGCCGTAGTGCTCTCAAATGACGGACCCCATGGTACATCTCTGATTAACGTGGTGCCTCACCTGTCAAGCTCTGTCGTCCTTTATCTTTATCAACCTGTCATTAACATTTCTCTGTGGTACTAACGATTTAAGACTTTACCTTTGCTTCAACTGCTTCTCTTCAAAATTAACAAGCTCGATCGGACATATCGTGGGAGCTGCGGGCCATGCCAACGAATTCGTGTTCATGCATCAGTCATGTGATTGTGCCATGTAATTTTTGGAAGGAGTAGTGTTCAGAGTTTAAAAAAAATCACGTTTTTGACCCATTGACCCCATGATGACCTTTGATCCCAGTTTGGTCATGTGACATGTTGGGGCTGGACTACTGATACTTTTGACAAAGTTTGGTTGAAATCGGTCAAAATATGCAGGAGCAATAGACACTTTGAGCGTTTGTTACTAACTAACTAACGGAGAGACATGATGATTTGTTGAGCTGCTATCTCGCAGCTAAAAATCAAGAACATTTTTTTTGTGTGGTGGCCCAAAGTTCAGTGCGAGATTCTGAAAGATGTCAGAGCTGTAATTAAGAACGAGTCCCTCCAAAAATACAACAACGACCACTTGGAAGGGAACTTATTACAGTGGCTTCAATAACGGCAGCTATAATCCGGGCAGGTATCCGCTGTGAGATTGAGTATGACCCTTTAAATTTGAGGACAGTGGGGTCAATGAACTGATCTAATAGAAAAAAACCCTGTCAGTTTCTGCAATTTTCTGGGCGCGTAATTCGTATTGCCCCTTATGTCGCATGTGCCTTAATAATGTTCACGTCCCAACTTCCAGGCCAAGGTTTTGATCTCTATGTTGAATTTTCTCTATAACTATAATTTCTGGTTTAGCGTTTTCTTTGTTAAACCATTGGATTTTGTTCCAAGCGCTTTTTAACAACCCGCACTAAATCACTGTAACGTGTGTGAAGTGCTTTGACTAGCTATAAGTGCTGCTGAAGTACCCGTATTCTTATCAAGGTTATATAACAAACGTGTCGTAAAAAGGAGGTCAACTTCTTCACTGACACTACAGTGTTTATAATGCCTTCATAAACTGAACCTCAGAAAACTCAGATTCGATTAGAACATCTCCCCAGAACCACTATAACAGGGCGGATCCAGGGTTGGCTCAAAAGGGGATTTAGCAGAGGGGGTTTCGGAAGCATGTGCTATTTTCCCTGTTATTGTGCTTTATTTTGCGGCCCAAGGGAGCGGAGGGGTCCCTAACTCCCGTTAGATCCGCCATTGGTGTATTATGTGAACGAATGAACGTGTGTATACTCACTGTTTATGACGACTCTATTTTGGGTAAGTAACCTCTCCACGTTCCGGCGAGCCTCAAAGAACCACTCGGAATCGTTAGTGAGGTATGGGTAGGCCAGGGAGAGATCCTTGACCCGTATCCCGCCATCCGGCAGCCGGTACGCGTAGGGACAGAAGATACTATAATCCAAGAACTCGTGGGCGTCGTAACAATTCCCAAAGGCAAATATATCGTCGTCGTTCTCCACGTTGGAGGCTACCACGTTGAAGAAGAACTCCTCGTTGTGCTGGACTCCCGAGAGGGCTTTGCTGCGCCATATCCTGGTGAAGAAGTTGGCTGTCTCGACTGTCCTCATGGCCTGTCGCATGTACCTGTTGGGGCCGTAGCTGGTGGCTCCTTTGTCCAGCACCACCGCCCAGGTCCCCGCCTCGCAGTCGTTCCGGTTGTCCTCGATGTAGGCCAGGTAGGTGAGGAACTTGGAGACGATATCGTTAGGCTGGCTGGAGGGTTCGATCATTTTCCTGGGCCCCGCCTGCACCGGCTCACGCCGAGCATCCACCGTGGTTTTCTTGGTTGCCACCTGCACGTACCCGGAGCCTTCCTCGGTGGGTTGCTGCCGGCTGCCCTGCAGTCCCCCGGCCTGCGTAGTAGCTCTGGTAGGTACCCGCGTGGGTGTGGTCGTGGGCGTGGTAGGAAGCTCCGTACTGTTGTTGGCTTGGAGGCAAGAGGGCAGGAAGACGAACGAGAAAATCAGTGAAACGAGGACCGCTTTGATGACCGACTTTGGCTCCACCTCACGTAAGGCCATAGTTATCCTGTGTGTTACGACGGTCAAGTAGACGTCAGACAGATGTGTTTTAGACCGCGTAAAGCAGATCCTCTAGTATTAGCAACATATGAGATCACTCGCTGAAAACCATTAACAATCCCAGGTGGTGCTCTGAAATAAAGGAAAATACGAACTGTGGTTATTAACACACCACTCCCGAGATTTCACCACAAACACACGTTTGGCTGCATGTTTACGTCACTGTCCATGCATCCGAAATCATCGAAACGTTTGGGAACGAAAAATGTAGACGATTTTGCATTTTAAAATGATCCGTGGACGCCACAGTTCATCTACCTCTCACAATAATATTGAAAGAAACATTATTCGATTGAACAATGTTTCACAGACCCTATCCAAGACAAAAAAAACAGTTAGACATAACCGATATGCAAGATTTGACGTTTATGCAAGATCGTGCGGTAACCAGATCTGTGCGTGCAATCATCCACGACAAACCACACAGACATTAATCAAACCTGCGCAAACATCTCAGGCAAAATGGAAATCCTGGGACGGCATTCGGTCCTCAGTATTCTGTGGACACTACAGGTTTGTGGAAATTGGTGAAACAAATTGTGTTTGCGGACGCAAACGGTTTGAAAAATGAAAAAGATTAGACAAACGTCAACTGGTTTGATTAATTTATATCTGAAAGGCGGTTGATTTCTGTGAATTCACATAAATGGAAATGTGAATTCGATATAATCAGTAACTGTGGCGTTCTTTGGTAGTCCTTCATCCCCACATCTTCTTTTGCTTCGCGCTTATGATATTCCTAAAGAATCACTTTACCTTAAATATTTTAAAAGGAAACTCGGACACTTGTTTTTCGAAAACAAAAATGTTTGTACTTAATTTAGTAACCAATTCAGCATTTCAATGAACATTTTAAAGGGTGAAAAGACGTAAAGTACCTGGTCCTTCGTTGTCGTCCGCCTTCAATCGCCACCTTCTAACAAATTAATATCCTTCATCCAGTGATTGACTGTTTGATGTTAACACCACTTAGTCCACATTAACACTGAAAAAATGCCGTCCATCGAGATAAGAAAAAATTCGGACAGTTCACTTGAGATGAGTTGTCGTTCCTCCGATAATTAAGCCAGAAAGCCGATTTCGCCGCAATCTATCACCAGCTCGTATTGATTGTTGTGTCACTTGGTGTTGTTCCATCCGCCTTACAACGACAATTGACAGAGACTCGACCGCACTTGGTATTTCTCCTACCCAGATCAGGTGTCTTCTTCTCCGAGCAGACCTCCACACGCCTATATCTTGCAGGTGGATCGACCGTTGCACTGCCTCCAACGATTGAGTTCCGCCCCGCACCGTACGCCGAGCTCTATATACGGGCCTTTAGGAACAGCCGCGCTTGCATTGAAAGAGCGATCGCAAACTTGAATTGCAATCCACCATCAGTTGTACATAGATAGCTTTTAGTCCAGTGTACGGTGCGCAGCCCCTCGCACAGATTCACGGCACAGTATTGCATTCGCGTGTGTGTGGTGACAGTTCATGCTATCGTATGTAGTGGATAGCAAGCCGAGTGATGAGCTCAGTTCCCCGTGCACACACGTGCCCGCACTTTCGCCGGAAACCATAATCATCAGTCACCACCAACGGGGCTATGTGCGCGTGAACAACACACAAACCAATGCGTTGAAGAAGTTGTCGCGCGATTGTCACATTGGGATGAACCATTAGGGACGACGAGAGGGGGGTTTGCAAAACGGGGAACGGGATTGTCTTACGCAGTATACGTTGCACTGATAGTGGGAATGAATGGGATGCAGGGGATATATTGGAAGTTTCATCCATGCAACCCCTGGATGGAATCACCCAGTTGGAGCAATTTATCAAGGAGGGATTGCATTTATATCAATATGTTTACCGACATTTGACACTTGATATCTGGCTATGTAGTTCATATGGAAAAAAAAGAGAGAGATATCGAAACAAGCAAGGAATGTTTGCTCGTACCTACCGCCCTATCCAGGCATTGGAAAAGACAAATTTCTGTGAGCTCTGATTTGATAGATTTTAAAGTCGAGACCGGGGGAAATTACTTTAGCGTGGATGAATCATAGCGCAATTTACCCATAATGCTTTGCGTTTCCTTTAACAATATTTCGCGAAAGCGTTTTTAGCCTGCGTTCTTTGACAGGGGCATCGGCTTGTACAGTACTAATTTCAACCAACAAACTCGCGTTATGTGATCGACAAGGCCAAAGAGGTCTGAGAATCACCGGCGGATTTAGGGGGCGGGGGGACGGGGGCTGTTTGAAAGGTAAAAACTGTTAAATGGACGTCACAACAGTAATTGGAGTTTAATAGTAAAACAAATTAAAATTATTAACCAACACAATCGATCGTTGTTTTTTCGGAGGAAATAATATTTAAGCGGTTTAAAAAAAAAATAAAGTATTTCCCAAGGCCATTTTTGGAATTCCAAAAAAATAAAAAACAAAATAATTCGTTGATAAGTAAGCATGGCAAAGTCTTCCATAGTCTGATTATTTTACATGACGCTATTGCCCTTACAGTACACGTGGAAAACGCAATCACTTCAAAGCTTCGTAGTTTATATGAACAAAAAAGAGAGCGATGGAAACTAGCTAGGAATGTTTGCCCGTACTCTTCGCCCTATTCAAAGGCATTGGAGCTTCAAACTAGAGGAAAGAAGTTTCACACTTCGAAACATTGCCGAAGCAATTATTGCCACGAATTGAGCAAGAAGTGCATTGATGACAACAAGTTTACTAAGACGACACGAAGTGAACTCAGATTTGTTTAAAGTGTGGTATCAGTTTCATTTTCAGGTAAGTTCTTAGACCTTGTTTTGTTTATCTTATGTTGTCGCTAATGAAATGTGACATGAACCTTAAATCCTTGGTTTCCTGACACGACAGCGTATTATTTTGTCTGGCAGTTTCAATACCATGCTGTTTTTTTTTACTGTTTCGGGGCTTTTTCTCCATTGGACCGTAGGGAAAGGACATTCACCCAACAGCCGCAGGGTTCGTCACCAATGCACTTTGCGTCCAAACTAGCGTGCACCACCGATAGCCACATTTCACCGTGTCATTTTGAATTAGGCCTACCTCAAATAACTGTCAATAGAAAATGATATATCACATAACTGATGCTTGCTAAACGGATGTTTATTTTGAAACTGTGTCAGGCTAAGCCTGTCACTCTAGAGATGAGAGTCAATAATACGAAAGGAATTTAGAAACCATTTCATTGGAACGTAAATGGAAACAGTTTTAACGTAAATACGTGGACTTGCACCCCTGAACTGTCGAGATATTGAGTGTTCCGCTAGAGGGCGCTATACCTCTTAACAGTGGTGCGGTCGGCGCCTTTTTTTTCGTAGGCGTATTAAGAATTCAGTAGTTTCGATGGGAAAATTATGTTTATTCATGAAACATAACAATGACATCACACACCAATGTTATTATTAAGTCAACTACATGTAGTTACATTAAAGCATTTTATGTAGCCTATACTAGTGGATAGTGAGATGTACTGTGGGTCGAAAGATCCCTAGTTCAAATCCACATATGCCCATTTTTCATCGACTATTTATCTTCTCCAAATTTATTGTTGGGGTAATTTTTATTCAAGGGGAAAAAGAGCCCGAGAACCTTAGAGTCTTGCATTCAGTGATTCCATCAAAACTGCTGAATTGCTCATAAAATGGCTACACCACCTACGGAAAAGAAATATGCATGCGGGCAGCGTTTCCGCATGAACTGGGAGCCATACCAATTTCTTTTTGCCCGCAATAAAATGTAGCTAATCAAATTAATTAAAACCCTGTTTTTCTCATTTCTTAGATTTTTGATTGGTTTCTTTATTTAGAAACCAGCCCAATTTGATTTTAGTTAACTAACAAGGGAGAAATGTATTGCTCTGTTCAAGCATTTTAGAAACGTAATTTTATTATACTATATTTGTATTTTCTATTTTTGATTCACAGGCGACTCCGAGCAAAAAGCTGTCATATACAAAGGTCCACTCCAGTCATCATGTAGTGACGTATATTTGCCGCAGGTTACTTTTTTGGACGTGACTCGCTCACCGAACCATTTGCCATTTCTCGCCATTCTCTTTGTTGACATTATCCTCCTTGCTCTTGATTTCGAAAACCCTTTCTGTTTCTTTTCTTTTGTTGGCCTCAGTTGCCGCCTCAATTTGCCGCCAATTTAAAGTCCAATTCCTGTTACCGCCGCAGGGCGATGGGTTTGATTCCATACAAAAAAAACCTGAATGTGTGAAATATAAAATTGCACGTACGTGACTGAAAACAATAATGATAAATTACTTTTCTAAATTAGACGTCAATTTTGGGGGGTGGGTTTTATTTTAGTTGGGGTTGAGTAAAAGTGATATCTAAAACAGAGATTTTGCTCTGAAAAAAAAAATGACCTTGCAATTTGTCACCTTTCAAACCACGATAAATTAATGACTCTATCAATTATCATGTGTATAACCATCTGCTAGCAAGGTATGCACTCTGTTTATTAGCTTTAGACACTGACAGAATAAACCGAGATGCCTCGAAAGACGAAATGATCCTTGTCCGACTCGATGACGGTCCGTTGAATATGACTGATCATCCTGGCCGTATGTTTTCATCACTTGTGTTTGGGGAATAAGATTTAAAATGGGAGCGTTCAGCTTATACGTGTAATGGTACCATTAAGGAGACACGTTATCGTTATTTCTTCGCACGATGGGAGACATCGGTCATTAGGGAAAATTTTTCATGTCTCCCTAAAGTCACAGCCCCCTTTAGAGGCAACATTGTACTGTCGCAATAAGATTACATTTGTTGCTCGTGGTCTAATTAGTAAACATATCGAAATTCGTGGAAAAAGGACAAGGGAATTTGGGTTAGGGCACATTTAAGTTTGTAAAAATTTTGTGCACAAGTCTATGGGGATGTCTCCCAAAATGTCCAATCCGGGGTAATATTTATATATGTTTCTTTATCAACATATAACTAAAGGGCTACATTAGTTTTCAGCATTCTTTATTTTAGGCTATAACTAATGGCAGTTCCAGCTTTGGCTGGGGGGGGGGGGTAGCTGTTACAGGGAGAGGGGGAGGGCTAGCAGGCATGTGCGACGCTTTTCTGCAAGATGTTCTTATTTTGTACGGCCCTGTAGATCCGCCACAAGCTATTTCGTGTCATTCTTGTACTCGCCGCAAATTCTGATTAAATTTGATGAGCTTCTCCATAAAAAATTAGATTGTTTGATTGCTCTAAATTAACCAAACCAAACCGCATGAAACCAGTACAGACCAGTCTGCATTACCTGATTTTTGTTTTCCTGACTCCGATGATAAAACAACTCTCAAAATCTCATACATATTTAAATACTTATCATCAAACCGTTCTTATTTCGGGATCCTCCTTACAATGCCTTTAATCTTTACTAATTCAGGGTACTTTTTATATGCATTTAGATTCTTGGATTCGCTAAATAAATAAAGCTATAAACCAGATAGAAGCTGTATTAGGTTAATCTGCATTTCCTGGGCTGTTTATTTTTTTTCCTGAATCAAAAGAAAGATGAAACGGGTCTCAAAATCTCATACATATTTTAATACTCATCTTTTGGTAATAAGTCTTATTGATGTCAGGCTTATTGTGTAATGCGTATTTTGCCCGTAATCCTTTATTTTTGTCTTTCTTATAGTTTTAGATTGTTACTTTTCGCTGTACACAAAACCAAACCAGATCAAAAACAACAGGCCTACAGGTCAATTTGCATTTTAGAGTATCTCGTGAATCAAACTGGAGAAACAGTTCTCGCAACAGTGCACGCATCTCTTGATATGTTAGTTGGTTGTTTACCCTAACTTCCACAACACATATTCTGTTTATTACTTCAAACCGACAAGCGGCGTGAAGCCAGAAACTCTGAAGTCCATTGCTTAAAGTATTTTGGCAATAACAACGGAGGACCACCATTTTCAAAGGACGCCCATGCCTCAAACTGACTGCAGATTCCACGGGCTCACTCTCTTTAACTCTGTCGCTGCAGTTGGACGATATTGCGATAGAAGTGGCGTTAATTATGGTTAATTCAAACTGCATTCTTCCTTAATCCGTGATGGGGCGGGCACATTGTAATCCCATCAGTCACACTTGACTAGAAGCAAAAGCATGTTCTGTTTATCATGGATCATGTTCAAATTAAATCTTCCGGGCGGGCAGCAGCGTGCAGCCTTCGTACTAAAGGAATGAGTCACATGGTTGAGTCTCTCTGTGCTAATTGTAATGTGCTTTAGTCGGCTGAATCAAGGACTTCATTAAGCAGCTAAGTTTAATGTAATGCACGTTGTAATTACTCGACATTAATGTAAGGCCGACGGATGCTTCATCTTGTTTTGGACTGAAAATCAGTGTCATTTACTCCTGTTGTTGGCAGGAAATTTTGGTACTTCGAATTAATAAAAAATGGGAATGCGAAGCAAACTTGACGTCATGAAATGCTCGCAGCGGCGAAAATTTGCCGTGTTGAAAAGTGCCGACATTGAGTACCGTGTACTGAGGCGCTGTGTTCGCCAAACTTCAAAAGGGCTAATGCGT